TGGTGGTGGGGCTGACGGCGGCGGTGGGAGGTGGGGTGGTGGTGGGGCTGATGGTGGTGGGTGTAAGTGGGCAGTGGTGAGGCTGGTGGTGGGGGTTTCTTGTGGGAGGTGGGCTGTGGTGAGGCTAAGGGTATTTTAGTCCTTTCAACCCATTAGTCAAGCCACCTTAAAAATGAGGAAAAGTTAAAATGGGAACATCATTCCCGGACGGAGAGAGTATAACTTTAGTCATATATCATAAATAACTTATTTTCAATAGAAGTATTTTATATATACATATACATACATATACATATACATATACATATATATATATATATATATATATATATATATATATATATATATATATATATATATATATATATTAAATTTTCAAAAATGTTTGAACCACTGGTTCGACTAGTGAACCAGTGAACCAATACCTCGACAGGTTTGATCGCCGGTCCGGTTCTGAAAACTATGTTTGGAAGTATAGGAGTTATTAATTGTATTTGGGAGTAATATCATAGTAAATCCCAACTTTTGAGAGTATTTTTGTGAATTTTTTCTAGTGTAAAGTTTTTCTTTGGTGGACCTACGATTCTCATCAATATTTGCCGACCTCACTTCAAAATTATTCGTTGCTTTTTTTTCAAATGAGAAATGCTAACCAAAAAAATGTGAACTTTTCATCAACATCGCGAAAGAACTTTCTTCTTGAGACTTCCGATAAAACAATGTTCCTTGCAAAGAGATCAAACAATGTTGCTTACAAATTTTGATCTCACAGGCCAAATATGCTACGAGTGAAAAAAAATGGTTTAATCTCTAAGATAGAATTCTAAAAGTTTGATTTCTAAGATTCATAGGGATCAAGAGTTCGAACGACAATAACTTGCAAACTCTCAAAAGATGAATGCGATACTGAGGTTTTTCCTAAAACCACGTGGATTTTCAGAGTAGATAATTTTTGTTCTTTTAGTTCTACGCCACTTTTGAAATAAATGAATTTAAAAATAATTAAGGTGTGAAGAACTTAAATTAGGACCTGGGAGTACAAAGGGCATCCCAAGTGTGCAAGCTGTTCGATCAACCAATGGCCCAGAAACGCCAAACCTACTCAACCACATGTGTGTTTATATATCATTTGAGAATAACAATACCTGAAAAAAAAACTTAAAGGTCAATCTAAAGCACTCCCAATGTGATAGCCAAGTCATGTGTGTAGCATGGATGATCGTCACGAAACTCAAAAGATTAAGGGTAATTGTTTTTGGTTCGATAGTTAAGCATATGTTTTACTCCGTAATTTCAAACTTAATTTGTTAGATCGATGAAATATGGAAGCCTTTTTTAAGCCAGAAACATTCTCATTTTTTCTAGGACAGTAAAAAAACCGGAGAAATGCAACTTCTTTGAGACTTTTTTTAAAATGAACGGATAAAGTAGTGCATTCCCCAGCAGATTCTGCATCCTCAGTCCCACAGAAAGCCTTGCTTGATAAGAGTACAATTTTAAAAGAATTGGAATATTGTAACGATTCATTAATTTTAAGGAGTAAAGTTTCGTACTATGAACGAACAAATACAATAGCGTCTTCATCTACACCCTCGGTCTAAGTAATGTCTTGCTAAATTAGGGTCCATTTTTCAATTTTTTTGTTATATTGTTTCAAGTCAATAATCGTATGTACTCCTATATTTGTGAACTTTACTTGTTAGCATAACTATATATATCCTATTTTATTTGTGTGTTACTAATAGGCAAAATTGTCTTCCTAAGTGAGGATGGAAGTGAATTTATTCAAGTGCAAATTACCTACAAAGGCAATGAGAAGATGATCTTGGGACAACATAATGATAGGTGGGAAGATAATTTTTGGAGAGGGACAGTACCTTCGTTTGTTTGTGAGAAGATAACTTTCGGATGGGGAGAGTAGCTTCATTTGGTCAAACAAGTCTTACGGGGCAACAAAGTCCATATTGTAAAATATGACGTTTTTTAGGTACCAAATACTTTCAAATTTCAAGAAGAAGAAAAAAAACTCTACCCGCATTTCATCATCGTCTTGATAAGCTCCTCTAGCGATTAATCGGAGTGTGCATCCGCTCGACTATCTTATTTACTGCATCACGCGACATTACTAATCTGTCATGTAGAAGAATACTGTAAACATTTAAACCCTGCAAAAATAGGCAAGTGAATTCAAAAGCTAGATTATATAAAAATCATGTGCAAAGTTGGGGATAGTGTCTGTAGAGTGTAGACCATCAATATGCAGCTCGAATACTTACAACCGAAGGCAACACATTGACATAATGCAGATTCTGAGTGGCTAGCTTCAGGTTTTCACTGATGGGGCCCCCATCGACAAGCAAGACTTTCTTGGTATTCTCCATTTTCTGGACATAACTGACGATATTCTTGGTTTTGTGTGAAGGTATATCCATATCCTCAAATACCATCAGCTGCAACAATTGGTACCAGTTGAATTGTCAAGAAACATATAATGATTTGAAAGAGAGAAAAAGAGAAAAGAAAGCATCTGCATAGTTATTGATCTTCAAAACTTGCCTTTCCCTCTGCTGCACGAGCGGATAAAGCAATCTTGAGACCCAACCGACGAACCTTTTTGTTCAGCTTGATAGCATGACTCCTGGGCTTTGGGCCATGCATAGTAGCGCCGCCACGAAACTGTTGTTCGTCCACAAACGCGTTTATAATAATTGGATAAACATAACTCAAAAAAACATGCAAGCAGGGTTTCAGAGCACAGAGGTAGGAAAGAATATCACCTGAGGGCCACGGAGTGTTCCATGCCTTGCTCGACCAGTACCCTTCTGTGGATAAGGCTTCCTTCCTGTCCCACTGACCTCGCTAATAGTTTTAGTTGAATGAGTTCCCTAGAAAGTTTGCCAGCAAAGATTTTATATATTGCCAGAAATCATAAATTTATAGAGAATTTGAATAAGTGTAACCATAAAAAAATTAATACAAATAATAATTTCAAATTAGAATAATAATTTCTCTTCTTTGAGATAGCTATGCCTACACATGTCAGTCGTGACACAGAAGAAAAATGTAAAATATCCACAGCAGTGTCTCAATTCCACTCCATCTAAACCACAGCACAGCCATTAGATTTGTACCATACCTGTTGACGTTTGGCAAGCTGCCATCTCACAACACGATGTATAATGTCCTTCCTAATGGGTACATCAAAAACATCACCTGCTAACACCATTAAGCCTCTATCTCCACTATGGAAGTCTGTTACTGGAACAACCAGATCTTGACAGAGCCCTATGTTGTTATTGAAGAAATCACAGCACGACAAATTTGTATAAAGTTTAAACAAAGAAACCATTAAAAGGAAGACAAATTTAAGAGTGAATGAAAATTACGAAACACAAGAGGTTGCTAAGGTAATTTCTAAGTACAAGCACTAACAATCAAATCACAAGGCTAAAACAACTTTCAAAAAACATACGGAATATGAAAAAAGGATGAGTACGATAAGAATTGTGAATGAATCCAAAAACACCAATTCATCCAACAGTCATACTCACACATTTGGAAACCACATTAACAAGCCCAATATAATCCCAACTCTGTTGGGATCTGACGATGTGAGAGAGAGAGAGAGAGACTTAAATGAGATTTGTGGATTCATTCTAGGAGATAGATTTTCATTTGTTGAAGTTGTTAACTTTTGTACAAATGATTTATGGTGATTTATACAAATCCATATACAACAAACTCCATGTCCAGTAAATTTCTTGTTGTTTTGACTTGACACGGTTTTTATGCAAGACGGTGTCAACATTACCCCAGTGCACCAAAGGCTCAAGCACACCGCGGGGTAAGGGGGGTTAGATATAGACAACCTGGCCCCTATGTTTAAAACATAGAACGGCTGTTTCCAAATGACTTGGCACAACTTTAAATGTAGAATGAAAAATGCTTTGACATTCCAATTTTAACCTTGGTTTATTTTTTGCTTTCCCCTGGACATTTCAAGAACAGGGCTATGGCGGCTCCATCATTCGATCCATTCGAGTTGATCTGGCAGAGAAAAATGAGAGAGGGACAGATCTTTTTCGGAGAAAATGAGAGAGACATAACATTAGGTCAGGGTATAAATCAACCAGCACAAAGAAAAATGAAGAGGAGAACATTAGATCAGAAAGAAGAAGAAGAAGAAGAAGAAGATAAGAACAACAGATTGCAAAGAAAAAAGAGAAAATGCAACTGCAATTCGTGTCCATCAAAAAAGAGGTTGAGGCGGACAAAATCTTTCAGATCTGATTTTTTTTTCCAATTCAAAATCAAAATGGAGAAAGAGAAAATGAGGATATGATAGAGAATAGAGATGAAGAGAGAATGAAAATAAAGCAGAGGGGTAGTGACACAGTTGAGGATGGGCGGCGAAGACGGTTGAGGAGTGTCGGCGGTGAAGGTTGAGTGATGTCACCATGTCGGTGATAAGACAATAAAAAAAGGGAACGTGAGAAAAGGAAAAAATAAAAATGGAAGAGTAAATAAGTCTTTTTGGTGTAATTTATTTGCCATTTATGGAAACGGGAAGAAATAACCGGACGGCCAAAAAGGAAAACGGGAAGAAAGATACCGAATAGAGGGAGTATAAAAAGATCTTACAAAAAAAAAATTCAACATTGCCATTTTGTTGAACTGTTTTCCACACAAGATTTGCAAGACTCAGTCTACATTCAGTAGCCTTATCTCTTGTTGATCTCATCATTGAAAATCATCCATCTCATCGAATAATTTATTCAATGTTGCTTATTGCATCTTTTTCGATTTTGGAAAAACACATCTGAATGATATTCACATCAAAAAAATTTGTGTAGTGCACACACTAAGCTAACTAAGCTTGTGTCTTATTCAGAAATAGTGGTTCTGATTTGAAGATCATGAAATGGTGAAATAAAAGTACTACCACTGCGGCAAGTATAAAGAAAAAATGGATAGCAAAAAATGGGATGGTGAAACTAGGAAAATTGTGAAGTCCTACACACACTAAACGTAACTAGATTTGTGTCATACAGAAATCAAAGTTTTGATTAAAAGTGTGTAATATGACACAAATATTCCAACTATTTTCTCAACTGCAGCATGTCTAACGTTGAATAAGACAAGTCCATGGAAATGGAGGTTTCCCTCAAAACCAAAATATTTGAGTTGACATTCAAGCAAGTATGAACAAAATGACATACAGAGTATGAGAAGAACAAACAGAGAGCAAATAAAAACAAAGTTTGGGACAACGGAAAAAAAAAAAGAAAAGCACAACAATAATATAAAAAATAAGAGAGCAAAAACTTCTCAAATAGATGCCGAGAGAAGTTTTGTTCGGGATTAGATTCATGACAACAACAAAAATTAAAAATTTAATGAACATGCTTATTTATGAACACATACAAAACAAATATTTGTATAGTGATCAAGAATTTCATAAACATAAATAGCTTTAGTAACAAAAACTTTTTGTAACAAAAATAGTAAGGTTTTTTATGAATCACACTTTAATTTAAAAAATAATTGCAAAACCTTCTTTAAATGAAAACACAACAAAAACAACACCCTTTTGGGACGAAACTAAAGTTTAAAGCTTTAACATCAAACACTTTTTTAATGAAACAAAGGTTAACAAATTTTTAAGTCCCTACATTTTATTGATTTTTCTATGAACACACAAAAATAATTTAATATATTTCATGAACAAAAAATAAATGCACATAAAAAAGAGAAGATCGAGCGATGAAAAAGGCGCAAATGACATTGAAAGAAGTTCTGTACTGACTAAAAGCTCGTCTAGATACTTGGGATTAGGATAACACAATAATGAAGAGTAATTCTTTATAATAAACACCATAATATTCACAAATACAAATCCTATCTTAATTCCATAGTCAATACATTTTAATGATATTTTGAATGCCCCATAATTGGTATTCACTTTAGAAGGTCAGAATTGAATACTGTTAAACTTTGGTAGAATTCATAGACTTATAAAAATCATAATTGAATACACCTAGATTCTTATTGATTTTTAAAAAGCATTTGCTTGTTATTTCTCCAAGCATCAGTCCTGCTTCTTCAACTACAGAGTTATATTTAATAATGGGTCAGAGTTAATAATATATACTGCATATATAGGTCTCCTTTATGAAAATCGATTATGGGACACGAAGCATGTCAAACAAGATTTATACACCCTTGGATGATTTTGCACTCAATCACATGGTTTTGAACCATGTAGTAAAATAAGAAGGACCATTTATTGGAGTAATAAAACCAAACCATTTTTAAACTCTATACTTATTAATTAATACACCTAAACTTCTAAATTCCACAAATTTCTAATAAAGTGTCAGTCTCGCAAATTCCACTTACACCCATATAAATATAACTAAAAATTTGGTTTACATACCAATTTTACGTTCAGGTTCCATAACACACTTCTTTGTCAACAAATCTGGGGGGAATTCACCATCACCTGAATCAGGAGTCAGGGTGGAGGTTGTATATCTTTGCAAGGCATGGAAAACTGTGGCATTCTGTACCAAGAAGGACAAATGTCATACACAGTAACAGACGCCTCAAATAAATAGCAGCAACAATTCAATTCTTTACTTTAATAGTTCATGATCAATAACGTCTAAAAACATCATCGAATAAATAATACCAGTATTAAAAGTCTCAAATTCCAAAGAAAAAGAAATTTATGGTAGAGACTACAAATTTGAATGCACTCATGATGGCATACCACATTATGTGATGATATTTACACCTACTTTATTTACAAATACACCGAGTTTCTAAGTATGCATCATCAGCTTTAAAATAAATTTATTAATTAATGTATTTATGAATATATTCTCAAATGTTTCTTTTCCTGATTCCCAGTCTGATTCCATTTAGCCTTCAGGTTATGCAATAGCTTAACAATCATAATTAATCTAACACCAACCAAGTGGAAGCATGGCTGTTTTGAAAATGGCTCGGGGAAACAAACATGCTCTTTATATTGGGTATAGAAAAATGTCAACAGTGATTTTTAAAAAAAACAACAAAGGAAAAATGGAATTGTTGGATTGAGTTTAAGTGTGTCAAAACTAGTCAATGGATACTAAATTGGTTAGAAGTTGCCAGCTTCTTGATGCATATTGGGGATTCCTTTCTCTAAGGATTACCGTGAGATATGTGTTTTAAAGTGCTTACACTATAATTTTGCAAGCTAGCACTTAAACATTAGGGCTTGCTTTAGTTTTTTGCATTTTGTTAATGAGAGACATGCTACATAAACCTGGAGGCAAGGTCTCCAGTTGTTACTCAGAAAATTTAAAATTTGGTTTCTACAATTTAGCATTTGCTCTAAAAAACAATTCAGTGCAAATAATTAGCAAGCAACAGGGGAATTGGCACCAAGATTTTCACTGCTGGAATGGAAATTCTGGAGGCATAGAAACAAGATTATGAGTCCCCACTTAATGATGAGTCAATATAAGGTAAACAGATTCTTTTTTTAATGTCTTACAAGAGACAAATGAGTGTGGTCATAAGGATAGCACAATAACATTGGGTTATACTAGACAAATTAGTCCAAGACTTCAGACAGCAAAAAGTGGACTCTAAAGGGAACAATATCCGAATTTCACACCAGAAATAACAAAAGCACCAATTTACCTTAGCGAAACCAAGATATTTTGTAGACGGTACATTCAAAGCTGTTTCAAAACAAAATAGAGCTGTTAGTTAATGAGGACAAAATAACTCGACACGCAACACTCAATTATACAATGATGCTAATAAAACTAAAAGTAGACAGATGAAACCTGCAGAACCAGATAGGGAATGAAGCAAAGAGGTTGTTGCATCAGATGAACAAAAAGAACGCAAAAAGGTCCTACAAACTGATAGCGTCATGCTCTGTAACTGGTTGAAACTTCATCTATCTTCTATCTATACATAATATAAGCAAATTCTTTACAAATGTTCCTGAAAAAACTGACCAAAGCACAGTAAGAATATAAGGGCAGACTAATGCTCCATGGAAAGAAACCCATAATGCTGCCAAAACTCGCATTGATGATAACAGAATTCAAATATTTTGAAGTTTAACCCTACCCAAAGATTGGGTGTGAAATCAGCTCGTATAAATTGAACTAAAAATCTTAACTTTTTCACTCAAGAATCCAACATAAATTTTTCTAAGATTTATGTTTTCATCAAAAGTGCGAACATTGATGAACTGTGTTTCATATCTTGAAAATTGAAACAAAATTTAATTTATCTTTGAAAATATTTGACGTAGGAAACCATTGAAGAGGCTAATACTGAAGGTGGTGGTACTGAGCATACCTGAACGGGCTGGATGGGTTGGAAATGGAAGAACGGTGAACTGTAGAATTGGATGGATGCTAGGGCGGAAGGGTGTGTTCCTGCTTGAGGCAAATATTTGATTTGGGGGCTGGAGACTGGAGTCAAATGTAGAAGTAAAATTTGTGACTAAAATATAAGTTATTAGTAGAGTTTAAACTTTTTTATTTTTTAAATAGAATTTAATAATGATTAGTGAGAAAAATAATGATCAAGTGATACTGGATATTTTGTTGAATAATGACTAATAAATAATGATTGGATTTGATTAATTATATCAAATCCAAAATAACTTTAAATATATCAGATTCATCAATTAAATTAAACTAGATTTAATTAGATTAAATCAGATCTAATTAATTCGAATCAAATGAGATGAGGCCTTCAAGAATCATAATAGTAATCATTAAATTTGTGAAGTACTCGAAAATCCCAACCACACTGCCCACACCATAGTGCAGTCGCATAAGAGCCGGGTCCATGTGAATATAGTTTAACTTTCTTTTTTTTTTGAAGGAATAGTTTGACTTTCTTAAGTAAGGTGGAATATTATATTGAGAGAGAGTATAATTCCTTTTTAAAATATTCTTATCACGATAATCAATTTTATATTTATTAATTAATTCATCCAACATATCATACGCCAAATAACTACTCCCTCCGTCCCGTAAAACATGAGGTTTTGATTTTGAAAAGGGATTTAAGGGAAGTGTATTTTGGTATTGAATTTCCAAAAATGTCCTTTGATGTGATAGGTAAAAGTATGATTTGATAGATAGATTATTAGTAAAAAGGTATGATGTGATAGGTAGGGTATGAAAAAGTAAAGGGTAAAAGTGACTTTTTAATAGAAATGAGAAGTTTTTTTTGGGACGGATGAAAATAGAAAGGAGAAAGGTTTTATGGGACAGAGGGAGTATTATTTTATATTCATGTACTTTATGAAACGAAAAGAAGAAAGCTAAACAAATGAATAATACAAATAATGATAGAAATTATTATTATCATTAATATTATTATCAATATTATTATTAATATTGATAATAGTAGAAAAAATGATAATAATAATAGAAATTATTATTATCAATATTATTATTATTATTAGTATTATTATTAGTATTTCTCGGTAATTCAGCACTTTTCTTGTATGGTGGTCTTGTCTGCATGGATTTGATCTGTTTACAATAAGATTAGGTAATACATCGAAAAACTAATTTGAAGGTAACTGGCATAATTCAAACTAATTAGGGAAAAAAGTTGAAATAGGAGTAAAACATAAAATTTACAAAAATAGGAGTCCCGTGTTTTTATTCACAAAATATGAGTTAAATGCATATAAAATGTCAATTATGCCAATATATAATACCAAAAAGTATTGTGAAATATTCATATACATTACAATGTTATCGCAGTATAAACTCCTATTTGTTAGTCTTTGTTTGCTAAGCCTCGTGTTTTGATGTTAACAAACAATATAAGAGTTTAACGTTTGTTTAAGTGTTTCGGATACAACAAGAATCCATTAAGATTCGGTTCTCAAGAATGAAGTCGAAACACTAAACAGTAAGGATATGATTTTTATATACCTATATTCACAACTCAAAAACACTCACAAAATATGTTTAAAACCCTTTTATAATCATTTTCAAATATCCAAAAGGTTTTAAACAAAATTGGAAACGATTTGGACAAAAATGAAAAAATTGTCAAAATGGTCACTAGGTACCTAGGTACCGTGAGTAGGTACCGTGAGTCAATCTAAGAAGGTACCCCAAATGTCAGCCCGGGACCCCCCTACCGGAAGGGGTACCGTAAGAGGACACGTACCGCTAGAGAGTTTTGGCCTGAGAAGGTACCTAGCTACCGTACGGTACCTAGCTATCGTGACAAGGTACCGTAACCATTGGAACACTATTACTAATTGCTGATTTTTGAATTAATTCAACCCTAATCACCTCCCAACGGCTAATTAACATCTTCCACTATAAATATAGGCCTAGTACTTCATATTTCACCAAGAAACAAAGCTTCAAACATCCTCCCTTTATATTTTAAGTGTGTTCATTCTTTTATTCATTATTTTCAATATTTTGGTTATTTCAAGAGCCTTAAATTCCTGATTTTTATACACACACTTTGAGCTTGTAGTTATATACTCTCATATTCATAAGTTTGAATTATATTTTTGAGAGAGTATAATTTCCTTCTACACCGGCTAAGTTTTGTTCTTCATTTTTATATTCTAGCCGTTGTGTACAATTCTTGTTTGTGTTCTTCAAATACACCTTCTTACGGTCGAGAATAGCCATTAAATTCTCACGTTGTAACAGTTAAGCATAGTCGTATAAATCCTTGGGTAAAGGTTCAAGGATAGCCTTTAAAGTCCTTGGGGGAACGGTAGAAGATAGCCGTTAAATCTTAGTTGTAAACGGTTCGAAATAGCCGTGGTGAAATCTCAGAGTGAATCCTATTGGAAAGGGTTGTTTGCCAAACTAGTGTGGTGCTTTGACGGAGTTCAAGAGACCGAGACTTAGTGGATTCGGAAATCCTTGAGGAGGAGCCTCGAGGTACTGGAGTAGGGATTTCCCGAACCAATATAAAATCGGTGTGCATTTTACTTTACGCTTTTATTTCTGTGTTTTATATATTGCTTCCGCATTTGCCAACACCGTTTTTATCAAACTCCGAAAAGATTTTAAACGCCTTATTCACCCCCCCTCTAAGGCGTGGGGAAAACGACTAACACCGACTAACACTATTGTGAGGATAAAAACATGACATTTTTATTTTTATACTTTTTCTTTGTTTTACTCTTATTCAGGGTTACTTCTTAATTAATTAGGTTTTGGAATTTAAGACTCTTCTTTAGTGAGAAAAAGAATTGGATGTTGAAAAAAACTGGAAAGCATTGAAAAATGGGAATAAGGCTCTATTCCGTACTCCTGATATGATTGAATATAATCTGAAGTTTTAAAGTTCTGATCTTATCTGATTGGATTTGATCTGATCTGATCTGATTGGATCTAATCTGATGGGATTTGATCTCATCTGATTCGCTCTGATCTATTCTGATTGAATCTGATCTGATCTGATTAGATCTCCTTTTATCTACTTAGATTTGGTGTAAATAAATTTAAATTTGATTTAAATTAAACTTTAAATTATTACAAAATTTAATAGGTTTAAAGTATTACAATTATATGTACATAAAAAAGTAAAATAAGAAAATCAACTAATCATTGATATATTTAAACTTTTTTTTTGAAATATTAAACATGTTTTCAATGTCACTACTTTTTTAATCTTTGTGAAAACTAAATAGTTGGTATTAAAATAACCAAATATTAGAAAATATGGCTCATATTCTACCAAAATATCACATTCTATATGTATATTACATAATAATATATTTCATGTAACAAATTAAAGTTACAGGATGAAGTTACCCTTGTGTATATTATACCATCTTGAAGTTTAAAAGTAAGTCTTTTTAAGTATAAAATATTTATGGTTTTGAAAACAAATTTTGTATAATTATTTTATAAACAAGTATTTTAAAACAAATCATTTTACAGGATGAAAATTACAACTTTTTAAGCTTTAATATTGCTTCCATGCATCATTCCTACAAGCTAAGCAATTGTTAAAGATAGTGCTTTGTAGTTGAAATATAATAATAATATAATAATATAATAATAATAATATTTAAAATTATAATATTAATTAAGATTTAGGTGTGTGTAGCTTTAAATAAAGTAATGTGATTTAATTAAATTATAGTAATTATTATTTAATTCTTGAAAAATATAAATATTATTTTTTATATTTTTCTTGATTTGATATAATTTGATTTAATCTAGTTTGATCTGATTGGATCTAGTTTGATCTGATTAGATCTGATTTGATCTTATTGGATCTGATCTGGTCTAATCTGATCTAGTTGAATTTGATTTGAGTGGATCTGGTCTGATTTGATTGGATCTGACCTGATCTCATTGGATCCGATCTAACCTAATTAAGTCTGATCTGATCTGATTAGGTATGATTTAGTCTGACTCTAATAAGAGTAAGTAATAAGTAGAAATAATAAGTCTTTCGGAACCTAAGTATGAACTTATAAGAGTTATAAAAATACTGGAAAAAGTTTGAAACAAATTTAAAAGAGTTTAAAAATTAAAACAAATTGAAACAAATAGTATATTCTTATATGGATTACTACATTGTATTCAAGCTAATAGAATCAATAGTACTCAAAAAAAAGTGGTTTTAAAATTTCAATTTTTTTATTAAAATAAGTAAGACTTCATTTGTTCTAATTTTTTCTAGGTAGTTTTATTTTTTGTATGCTCCACTATTTATTGTCCCGAATGGTATTTAGTAATATTTTCCTTCAAAATTAGAACATTTATTAATATTTGTGACAGGCAATCACTTTAAAGAAATTCTTTTCAACATAAATGTCAATCACATATTTTTTTGTTTGTTAATTTACGTGTCACTTGTTGGACATGAGTTCAAACCCCTTTTCTATTTCTTCTGGAATATTTTTTTGTTTTGATGAATGACAAACATGATGATTAATTTCCAGCTGATCGAAAATTTATTTTTCGTATCGAGAAAAGCAAAGAAGGGTATCAAGAAGTTTACGGCGATATAAATCGACGACCACCCCTACGCAGATTTTTTTTTAAAGTGAAGTGAAGACTCCGAAGACTTTTTATTTTAGTCTAGGAATATTTGTAAGGATGACAGTATCTTCTGCACAAACAAATTAATTTCTGAGGGATAAAAATTATTATTATTTTTTTGAGTCAGTTGAAAAATTACTTTTCCTCAGTCTAAAATATTTTACTGAGTCAGTCTCAAAATAAGTGTGTCAAAACTTCTTAAAAACATTTTTTTAAGATTACACAAATTTTTTTTTGGTAAGAAAAATATACCTTAAATATTTTTCGTGTACATCGTTTGACACACAAAATAATTTTGGACTCTTTTTTCTCCCCTACTCAAATTAATTGAGTAGGAGCGTCCGTTGTCCGCTGATATTCCCGTTGTCCAAAACAACGAGTTAGAAGCCAAAGGGCTTCCAATCGCGCTTGGCTTGGGCCCTTTATGTTTGCGCTTTATTTCCACTTTAATCGATTAATTCTTCTAAATTAATCGATTAGATCCAGTTCTTGATTTCTCAAGCCTTCATTATTAATCGATTTTTCTTACTCTTTTAATCGTTTAATTCTCACAGCGCAGTCTAATCGATTTTTCCTTCAAAATTAATCGATTAAGATTGCATTTCTCGCTGAAGCCTTTTTCTTAAATTAATCGATTAATCTTCTTCATTTAATCGATTAGTTGAGACAGCGCCATCTAATCGATTATTTTGTCAAAATTAATCGATTATTTTGCACCCTGCGCAAAAGCCCCTTTCGCTTCTGTACACTTTAATCGATTAAAATTCCTAATTTAATCGATTAATTCTGTCTGGTGCATATCATCAGCTTTCTTCAACGGCTTTATTTTTCTCAGCCTATTTAATCCCTCATTTTCCTTCATTTCAAAACACACCTCTTGCACTCCAATATATTCTTTGAGCTATATTCATCCTTTGCTTCATCTTCCTCATCAAAATATTATTTTTGAGAGTTAGAAATATTTTCTTTGAGTGCTAAAGAAGTTGTCATCCATAGAGCTTAAATTCTTCAACACTACTTTGCTCAATTGTGTGAGCTTTCATTCTTGTGTTGTAAACTCAATCTCTTTTGAGTGTTGTTCTTAAGACTTGTGTGACTCAAGTCTTGTTGTTGTAAGAAAGTGAGGCTTGTGTGATTCAAGTTCTCAAGTTGTACCGGTTTTTCAAGCACCCGTTGAAGCTTGAAGATTAGTAGGACTTTCGAGAGAGTCTCTCGGAAGACTGGATTAGCCACGAGGTGGTGAACCAGTATAAATCTCGGTGTTCTTCTTTCCCTTACTCTCTTTNACACACCTCTTGCACTCCAATATATTCTTTGAGCTATATTCATCCTTTGCTTCATCTTCCTCATCAAAATATTATTTTTGAGAGTTAGAAATATTTTCTTTGAGTGCTAAAGAAGTTGTCATCCATAGAGCTTAAATTCTTCAACACTACTTTGCTCAATTGTGTGAGCTTTCATTCTTGTGTTGTAAACTCAATCTCTTTTGAGTGTTGTTCTTAAGACTTGTGTGACTCAAGTCTTGTTGTTGTAAGAAAGTGAGGCTTGTGTGATTCAAGTTCTCAAGTTGTACCGGTTTTTCAAGCACCCATTGAAGCTTGAAGATTAGTAGGACTTTCGAGAGAGTCTCTCGGAAGACTGGATTAGCCACGAGGTGGTGAACCAGTATAAATCTCGGTGTTCTTCTTTCCCTTACTCTCTTTATTTATTTCTGCGATTCTATTATTTCACACACGCGAAAAACGCACATTCTTGAAAACAACTCTATTCACCCCCTCTCTAGAGTTGCACATTTGTCTAACAATTGGTATCAGAGCAGGAAGTTCTTCGAATACGTTATTTTTTCAGGAACTAAAAGATCAAATGGCATCAAGAATGTTCAACGCACGAGTGACCGAGTGACAATCAACCACGAGGCCACCATTGTTCGATGGAACAAACTACTCGTATTGGAAGGAGAGGATGAGAATCTTTATCCAATCCAACGACTACAAGTTGTGGTTGATTGTGAAGAACGGCTGCGGAGTCCCGATGAAGAAAGTCGGTGAAGTCAATGTTCCCAAAACCGAAGAAGAGTTCACCGACGAAGATTGCAAAAAGATGGAGCTCAAGGTGAGAAAGGTGCTGCGAAGCCTATCTCCTAAATGGCGTTCAAAGGTGGATGCAATCGAAGAAGGTCGTGACTTCCAAACAACGACCTATGATGCTCTTCGAGGTAATCTTATTACCTATGAAACCACCCAACTCTCAAAGGTGGTTGAAGAAAGGAACAAGAGGTCTATTGCTCTACCCGCAACAACATCAACCCACAACAACGTTGATGATGAAGATGATGACAACGACGACACCGACCTCGGACTCTTTGTCCGAAAATTCAAGAAGATGATGCTCAAGAAGGGAGCCAAGAAGAACACTCCACCCAAATGCTATGGGTGTGGTGAAATTGGACACATCAAATCAATGTGCCCAAAGCTCAAGAACGAGAAGGACAAGAAGGAACCGAAGAAGCAGCGTGCCTACATTTCTTGGGAGAACGACGGCTCCAAGAGTGAAGACTCGGAAACGGAAGAAGTGGCCAACTTGTGTCTCATGGCCATTGAAGATGGTGATGCATCAAAAGAGGTAAGTGATCAAGAACCTTCTCTAAGGATTCCTTTCTCATGGCCATAGAAGTTGCCAGCTTCTTGATGCATATTGGGGATTCCTTTCTCTAAGGATTACCGTGAGATATGTGTTTTAAAGTGCTTACACTATAATTTTGCAAGCTAGCACTTAAACATTAGGGCTTGCTTTAGTTTTTTGCATTTTGTTAATGAGAGACATGCTACATAAACCTGGAGGCAAGGTCTCCAGTTGTTACTCAGAAAATTTAAAATTTGGTTTCTACAATTTAGCATTTGCTCTAAAAAACAATTCAGTGCAAATAATTAGCAAGCAACAGGGGAATTGGCACCAAGATTTTCACTGCTGGAATGGAAATTCTGGAGGCATAGAAACAAGATTATGAGTCCCCACTTAATGATGAGTCACAAAAAGATGGAGCTCAACGCCAAGGCAATAAACATGATTTATTGCGGTGTTAACGCGGATGACTACCGCAAAATCTCGCGGTGTGAAACCGCAAAACAAATGTGGGAGAAATTGGAGGTGACCTACGAAGGAACCGCGCAGGTTCGGGAGGCCAAAATTGACCATCTCACTCACGAGTATGAACTCTTTTCAATGAAGAAAAATGAGAAGATTGAGGAAATGTTTGATAGATTCTCTAACATCATCAATCCCCTCAATCTTCTCGGGAAGACATACACCGACCGAGAGCTCGTGAGAAAGGTGCTGCGAAGCCTATCTCCTAAATGGCGTTCAAAGGTGGACGCAATCGAAGAAGGTCGTGACTTCCAAACAACGACCTATGATGCTCTTCGAGGTAATCTTATTACCTATGAAACCACCCAACTCTCAAAGGTGGTTGAAGAAAGGAACAAGAGGTCTATTGCTCTACCCGCAACAACATCAACCCACAACAACGTTGATGATGAAGATGATGACAGCGACGACACCGACCTCGGACTCTTTGTCCGAAAATTCAAGAAGATGATGCTCAAGAAGGGAGCCAAGAAGAACACTCCACCCAAATGCTATGGGTGTGGTGAA